ATCTGAAAGAGAAACGTACGATGCGAGAAAACTTTGTAAGCGGGAGCTGGAGAGTTCTCGGCGGGCATGTGCAGACCCAGATTCCCCGACTCTTGAGTCCGTGGTCTGGACACCTGTTTGTGAAATGCCCCAACTTGGTATTTTAACGACTCTTCAAGAAAGAGCGATGTGCAATTAATGCAAGAAAGGACGGGGGGGGGGTGTAGAAGCAGTGCGAAGGCTGAACCTCATTTAGACGTTAAATTTTAGGAGACAGACGCCCGATGTGATTGATTGTAAATTAGTCTGATCACCGGTCCACCCTCATCAGTTGGGCTGTGTGACCTGAGGCAACTTAGGTAACCTCTCTGGGTCTCACTTTTCTATGAAAGTCAGTGGTGCTACTCTCTTAAGGTCTCTTCTAGCTCTGACATTCTTTGACGAACTTTAACGAAATTGTTTAAAATTTGTTAGGTTCTGTAGTTATCTTACTAAAGAGAATCTGTAGAGTATAATCTTCATGAAGTTAGGTTAAACCTGGGCTTATTTCTATGTCAGAACCACTGAGAAGCATGCAAAGCACTCATTAAGCATGTGAGGATTTAGAACTAACCGCAAACAGGAGTTTCATCCTTCCGGAGACGAGACACACAGAACTCATTCAGCTGCACGGTCGGAGAACAGATGTGAACATGAAGCCAATGTAGAGTCTTAACAGCTACAAAACAGACAAGCACCGCAGCAGCAGAATCGGCTTTAAGAGACAGACTATGGCATGGCCAGGGAGCAGAGGTTACCCTTTGATAAGGGTGGAGTGGGGGGTTGCAAGTCCCGATTAGAAGATTCGGACTAGGACAGGCTGGGGAAAATATTCTTGCAGGAGGCACTCTGAGGAGAAGGTTCCCCCTGACTAGAATTCCGTGCAGGCAGGAATTTTGTACAGTTCATGCTCTGGTCCCTGACAGTGACTAACACATAGGAAGTGTTCAAAGAAATATTGGTTGACTGGATGTATGAATAAACAGTCTGGAAGTAGCCCTGGGATGACAGGATTGTCAGGGCTTTGGTAAGTGATGGTAAATGGTAAATATGGTAAAGCAAATTGGATCTAATACTCTGCCTCAGAGGGTTGTTGAGAGAAGATGAGGAAGCACTTTGAAAGTATCAGTCAACATGGAAACACTGGTTTTTCTTTTTTTTTT